TCAATATAATTAAATAACCAATCAATCATTCATACGCCCCACATCATCAATCTTAATTCATTGTTTTAACTAACCATCACGTCAAATTTTTAATTATTTTATTTTAAATATTATTTTAATATATAAACTAACAATTGACGAGACTGTCTTTTTCAAAATTAACCAAATAAAACTAAAAAATCCAACAAAACCAAAAATTGTCATATCCAAACATGCTCTTAGAGTGTGTTTGTATATGAAATATTTCAATTTATATTCAATTCATACATAATTTAACTAAAATTTAGTTCAATCCTATTATTCTCAATATCATTAATATAATTAAATAATAATCAATTATTCTTAGACCACGTAAATTTTTAATTATTTTATTTTAAATTTTATTATAATATAAAACTAAAAATCATACCACTTTTTTTAAAATTAAACCCGATTAACAAAAAAAAAGTCATTTTGAACAATATATTTGTATACATAAATGCCCTTAGTTTCAAAGTAGGGTTGACAAACCAATAAAAAAAAAAGGTTAACAAACAAGCAATAAATTAGCTTGTTTGAATTTTAACAAAATACTATATGATAAAAAAAATGATATATTTTACTCCGAAGTTTGACTTGTTGATGTCAAACCGACAACCTAATTGAAGTTCGATTCTAAAATTATACCATTGACAACTTTTTATTTAAGATTTAAAACTATGTAACAACTTATATATTAATGCTATAAATAATATAAAAAATCTTAATATTTTGAACTCAAAATAATATAAAAATTATAAGTTAATGCGAAAAATTATAAAAAAAAATAAAAATAAAAAAAAATAAAAAAACATTGAGTGGTTTAATATTACTTTGTAATAAATATGAATACTAAACTATAGCATATTGGATTAGTTTATTCATGTAAAAACTATTTATCAATATAATTAAATAATATCAATCAATCATTCATACACACCACGTCAACATTAATTCACTATTCATCCACTCACATTATTTTAACTAATCATCACGTCAAACTTTTAATTATTTTATTTTAATATTATTTTAATATACCCACTAACAATTAACCATACTACATTTTTTCAAAATTAACCAAACCAAACAAAAAAAATTCAAGAAAACCAAAAATTTTCATATCCAAACAAGCTCTATATTTCTCATAATTCAAGCTCTATTAACACTTGAATTTGGCAAAGTATTTTTTGGTGCCATTTGGCCATCTAAAATTTGTGAAATAGTGAATAAAAATTCTCTTACAAAAATTATGTAATAGTGACAACTGATAAGCACATTAAATCCATAAAAAAAAAAAGACTTCCTCATTCAAATTTCCATAAACAAATAAAATAATACACATAATTAAGCCCGGCCATGACATGAACATTTTCTTTTTTTGTTTTTTTCACTTCTTTTCTTCCTCAGCAGCTGCCGGCTTCGGTTTCTCCTCCTTGGCCGCCGCCGTTTCCTCCGGCAAGCCTCCGTCGATGCAGCTCCGGCACCTCTTCTCCACCCATCCTTCTATGTCTTGCTCCCCCGAGCCTCCGAGATGCCGGCCACCGCATAACCGAGCCACGATCCCAGCAAAAACTCCAATGATGGTGATGGCGGCCAACACCACTACCAATGTCTCGATCGAGTGGCGGCCAATGCTCTCCACCGCCGCCGGTGGTTCTTGCTGGTAACTAGCCATTTTTTTCAGTTGCGAATGAGGTCGACTCAAAATTTATAATACCTATATATAAAATATAGTTGTTGTGTTACGCGAAACGAGCAAATTGCTAATCGAGCAACGAGCGCGAGATTTCCTTGAGCTCAACAGCTTGATTATTTTAATAAACGAATCGAATTCGAGCTCGTGAAATACTCTTGCTTGGATAATTTTGAAGAAATATTGACAAAAAATATGATTGTTGATTTCAAACTTGAGGAAAAACAATGCCGTTGTGTCCACAGCTAACTTTTTTATTTATGTGCCATCATAATTTCAACTTTTTTTTCGAACTTTGTATTTTCCATTTTTAACTGTGTTTTTGCCTTTTTGAGGTGCAAAAATAGTACTATTTGATGGCCCAAGCCTCATAAAGTTGCCTCCTAATGTGTCAGTGGGAAATATTTAGGATCATATCATGTTTGAATTAGTGGAATCAAACGTGTTGAGTTTAGGTGGCAGATTCTCACGTTTCGGATGTTGATATGACGAAAATTTATGTTTCGTGATGTTGTTTTTATATTATTTTTGCTCTGAATGATATTAGATATAAATAAATTTACACATACATTCATTAACTCGACACTCATGTTGTACATGGACATTAGTAGTGTTGTTTATTATTATTATTATTATTTGCAATTTTCAATAGTTGGGGTTGACCGTTGCTTGACCTGAAATTTGTAACATTTTATATAATTAAATTAAAGTAGCTAGCTCAAAGATTGGATAGGAATCATAAGATATGTAAATTATTATGGCCATCTTGAAGTTTGAAACTAATTAAATTAGGACTAAAGCTAAGATTTCCAAATAATAATGTGCAGTAATTAGTTATTGGATATTATAGGTAAGGAGAAAATCTGATTTAAATGAACTTCAACAACTATAGCTATTTTGCCATATCTTTTACATTGACAATTCAATGAAGAGCTTCCACCATAGTTATTATATTTGGTGCAGAGAGAGAGAGAGACACAGAATACGACAGTATGCACAATTTGTGTCCACAATATTTTTTTTATTTTATTTTTTTCCTTGGAGCATGAAATGCTGTAAATTTGAAGTGAATTTTGCAGCGGATTATCTTGCTTCTATGACATAGACAATGCCGGACGGGCTTCACATCCTTGACGATCCTTCCACGGGGTGAAACTGTGGCTCGAACATGATGTTCTAGGGATCGCTCATCGTAATATCGTGGTCTAAGGCTTTAGCCTTCTTTTTTTTGAAAAAAAAAAAAAAAAAAATCTGAATTAAGGGCGCACTATTTAGTCAACGGGCCGCATTGCTTCGACTTTTTTAGCCCAATTTCCATCTCAAGCCCAAACCCAACGACCTAATCTTTATATAGTCAAAGCCCATCCTGTGGCCCAATTTCATACCCGATAAACAAAGCACAAGTCCCATATGCTATTCCGGACCTCCACGCCACCGCCATCGCTCCGCAGCGCCGTCGTCAGTCGGTACTTCGCTTCGTATCTGAATAAGGTAACTCAGAACATCCTGTTTCCTAATTCGAGACTTTATTTCCTCTTCTCTTTTATGATTTCATTTTTTTTTTTTTTTT